CGGTGCCGTTGTAAACATCTTTTTTAAAGTCTGAAATGCTTCCTCCCTTTCATCCGTCCATTTAAATTTAATATTTTTCTTTGTCAAGGCTGTAAGCGGAGCAACAATTTTCGAATATCCCAAAATAAATCGTCGATAAAAATTTGCAAATCCTAGGAATACTTGAACATCGCGAAGGTTTGTCGGTGTAGTCCATTCCAAAACATCAATAACTTTCTTTGGATCCATTCTATTCCCATTCGGAGTAAGGATTAAACCAAGATATTTTGTTTCCTGAACCATAAATTCACATTTTTCAGGTTTAAGGTGAACATGATTTTCATCAAGTACCTTTAGAACCTTTTGAATATGTTCTTTATGTTCTGATAGGGTCTCGGAATAGATAAGGATATCGTCTAAGTATGCCGTTACGAATTGATCAAGGTAGGGACGTAGAATATCATTGATCCAATGTTGAAATGTAGCAGGGGCATTAGCTAATCCAAACGGCATTACTGTATATTCGAAATGTCCATATCGAGTCCGGAATGCTGTTTTCCACTCGTCTCCCTCCGCTACCCTGATTTGATTATATCCCCATCGTAAATCCAACTTGGTATAGTATTGTGATCTTGACAGCTTAGCCAGGGTTTCCTTTAACAATGGTAATGGATATCGATTTTTGATTGTAATCGCATTTAGACCTCGATAATCAACACAAAGTCGAAGGGTTCCATCGCTTTTCTTTACGAACAATATAGGTGCTCCCGCTGGTGATTCACTAGCCCAAATAAATCCTTTGGGTAAATTTTCATCAAGGTACTCCCGTAGTGCCTTTAACTCGATTTGAGACAATCCATATATAGGTCCGTATGGTGGCCGCTTGCCTTCTTCCAATACTATCTCGATGTCATGGGATGGTCGATGTGGTGGGAGAATTGAAGCATCATATTCTTTGAACATATGGAGACGATGGTGAAATTCCTTTGGTACTAATTGTTCAATATCGACAGTGGATTTTTCAGTTGCTGAAACGATGACCGTATGGTGTTCCGGTAAGGGAATCGAGATGCCATGAACAATAACTGCAGTTCCACTGAGTGAACAGTATTGACAACAGCTTCGAGAGTCAAACACAAGTAGGTTTTCTTTTGGTCGAATCGTAACATCATGTCGTCGCATCCAAAGTATCCCCATCACAATCGGATAATGTCCTAACTTCGTTACAAAACATGGCGCGACCTCCCGATGACCATGAATGTCTAGCGAGACTTCGACAATATGGGTAATTTTTCCTGACTTAATAGGCCTTCCATCTATAACGTCTACATGGCGGGGTATTTTGAGGGGGGTCATTGTAAGATTATTGTGGCGTGCAAAAGATTCATCAATAAAAGCGTATCCTGATGCTCCGGTATCAATAAGGGCGTAGGTAGGTATGAAAGAATTTTTATTCTGTGAAATCGAACAAGTTACTACAAGTTGATTTCCATCCATTTCCTCCTCTGATACCGAAAAACCAGAAATACACATCCTAGAAAAATCCTTAAATGGTCCCTGGGCTAAGCCACTTAGTGCAGGGACAAATCTTTTGCCGACTCGTTATCGCTTCCGCCATTTTCTTCCACCGTCAACGCTGCTCCCCTCATCACAGGCCTCCTTGGTTGATTTCCAATTGCCCTTGCTTGAGGGCAATCCCTAACCATATGTCCAACACCTCCGCAATAAAAACATCGGCCCTCAACTAAGCGGGCATTTCTTTCGGTAGGGGAGGGGCGACGACGCCCTCCAGATAGATCCATTGGTACATCACCTCCCGGGCGGGATGAGGGATGACTTTCAGTAACAGGTACATTGGCGATTGGGGCGGCAGCGCGGGGAGCAGAAACAGGACTTGCTGGTGAAGGACGAGGGGCCGGAGTAGTAGTAGTCGTCCAAGGTTTTTTACTTCCTCGCTTAGCTTCTGCCGCTCGGCGACGATTATCCAACCGTTGTAGAAGTATCGCACAAGCATTTACCGTTGCGGGAGTGTCATGGTGTATCATTGATTCATCGAGTTCCGCATTAATACCTTCCATCAAAGCCTCAATCCGAGAGACTTCATCCATACCCGACTCAGCAGCATATCGATGGAACTCAGCAAAATAATCGGCGAACGTTCGATTTCGTTGACGGATGTTCCTAAGATTCCTCCTAGCCGTACGCATTCGATCGGGATCCCCGAAAGCAGTATCTAAAACCTCATAAAATCGTAGCATAGAGGGTAAGGCAATACCTTCTTCGCCAATATATTGTAAAAACTGATTGGCGGCAACGCCTTCCAACCTGCTGAATGCATAGGATAGTTTAGACTGTAGTGTAGGATAGCGATCGGCATTTCCTAATAGCTTAATCTTCATTTGTTGTTTAAACAGGTGTAACCTTTCTCGATCACGATCCCCCTTAAATACCTCAGGGTCTGGAAGCTTCTCCGACCGATAGGTAGTATCTGTAACGGGTGGTACTGGGGGTGCAGGTGGAATATTGTCTTCGTTGGGTGCTTGCACAGGGGCGACAGCCTCAACAGGAGCCTGTTGAGCTCGGGCAGCAGCAAGATCTTGCTCAAACCTTCTCCTCGCCCTCTCGGCCTCCTCTTCTACCTCCTGTAAATCCGTTGCATATTGAGCAAGACCATGTTGGCACTGTTGGAGAAGCGCATAGGCTTCAGTTCCAACAGTATCATCGACCCGTGGATGCGCTTGAAAAAGGGCTTGGAGACTATCGCTGAGTTGTTGATAATCAATAGGTGCATGTTCCGACATTGTAAACTATGGTGTTGTATTGGTTGGCGATAGAGGACGCAACCTACGTATCACGGGGACGGTAGGCGATAGACTGTAGTGCCAAGGAATACAACCTAGGTAGTGACGTAGACGTGGACGTAGACGTAAAGGTATACTTTTGACTATGGACTATGGGGTGGCTCTATCTGGTATGATAAACCAGTTGGAGCCCTATGACATGGTGCAGACAAAGAATAGTATTCGTGGAATAAATACAGAGGTTGCGTAAGAAAGAAAGAGAAGAAGGAAAACAGACAAAAGCACAAGACAACGCCCCCTTATATATCCATCCATAATCCAATGATGACTAATACCTTCGCATAACAGAAACCCAAAGAAGATAACAGAAATCCCCATTACAAATCCTAATTCCACTGCACGATACCTCCTTCCCTCATCCCAGTTCATCACCTAGCCGAAATACGTAGCTGCCGTTACAGTTATCTTCCGTACACTCGGCAAGCGAGATCTTATTCGAGTGACGGACGCCATTTCGAAGCATCGCGAGTACTTTATTCGGAAAACTGTCAACTTGATAAGCATTTGAAAACAACTCTTCTACAGTGGACATTCCTTCAGCGGATTCATTTGAAAAAGAACCCGCGAACAAACTTAGCTTTGAATCCAAATTTTTTCGCTTCAACACCACTTGACTCTGATGGGTCAACCGCTCATCCCCTTCTTTAGGCAGGTCACCCGACCTCCTAGTCAATGCATCTGGTTTCGCCCCTTGTTTTCCTGATTCAATAGGCCTTCCATCCATAACATCTACCTGACGAGGTACTTTAAGGCGGGTCATTGTGAGAATCTTATCCTCGGACACGGCAGCAGCGGAGAAAACAGGGACAACAGGAACAGGTGGCGGGGCTGGCCCCTTTGGTTTGCCAATTTTTACCAAAGGGGCTGACCTTTTAACGCCGGCTTTGGGGACCCATTTTCAAGTGGCCTTTCTCGCCAATTACTAATGGTACGGGGATCCTGAGAGCGAGGGGACAGATAGCGAGGCTTGGAGACATGGCGAGGTTTAACTGTAGCGGCGGAGACGGAGATACGAGAACGAAGACCGGCAATAGTGGCATTAGCTTGGACTTCCCAGGCTTTTGCAGCAGAGATGATGTGAAGAATTTCGTCTTCAGCATCGGCGAGCTTCTCGTCGTCAATGGCGAGACTTTCCTGGTGTAGGGCGAGACGATATCGAAGTTCTTCTTCTTCGGCCTTTGATTCTTCGAGCTCAATCTTCAGAGCAACAATAGCCTCGTCGCGGCCCCGGATGGTCTTGGTAGACTCTTCCTGGCACTCAGACAAGGTTTGCAATAAATCGGCAGCGTTTTCGTCAGCTACTTCGAGTTCCTTGGTGAGGCCGATAATGACCTCTTCTTGGGCCGTGTCGATAACGGGTTCCAGGATTTTGGAAGGCTTGGTAAAAGCCTCCAAACATTCAGCAATGAGATTATGGGCCTCGGTAAGTTCGTCACCGAAGTCGATATCTGCTGGGAGGGGACCATATGTGGTGAGAAATTCTAAAAGGCGCTGCAACAGCGTATCCTGAGTAGTGTCGGACATAGTCGCGACCAGAGCTAAGCGAGGTAGTGTTGTATTGGTTGGCGATAGAGGACGCAACCTAAGTGTAACGGGGACTGTGGGCGTAGGAACTATGAAGCCAAGGAATACAACCGAGGCGAAGACGTGGACGTAGGAGGTTCGTGGACTATGGACTATGGGGCCGAAGGGTACACCTAAGGCAAGAACGGGGACTGTGGACTATGGATGGTTGTACCTGGTCTAGTATACCGGGTAAACCATATAACGTAGCGCGAACCAAATAGTATTCGTAACTGTGAAATACAGAGGTTGCGTAAAGAGAAAAGAGAAAGAAAGAGAAACAAGAAATCACAAGACAACGCCCCCCTTATATATCCATACCCTATCCCAATGCTGACTCATACCCTCCCATAACAGAAGCAAAAAGAACATAATAGAAACCCGCTTCACTAAACTCAACCACACTGCATAATCCTTCTCCCTTGTACCCAGACAACTCACATAGCCAACCCGCCTAGCTGCCGTTACAGGTGTCTTTGTCTTCTTTCTTCTTTGGGCCTCCTCCTCCTCTTCTTCCTCCTCCTCTTCTTCCTCCTCTTCTTCCTTGTCCTCCTCCTCCTCTTCTTCCTCGTCATCGACGTCATCATCCTCCTCGCGCTATTCGTCATCGTCGTCGCTATTATCGTCGTCTTTCTGGGCCGCCTTGCTCGAGCTGCCCTCTCCGGCGTTCTCTCCTCTGGGATTTTTACAGGAACTCGACCCTCCACTTTCACCCTCGTCTTCATTGTCGTCGTCGGCGTCGTCTTCAGTATCGTCATCGTCGGCGTCGTTGCTCACCTCCACAATCTCACTTCTCTTCCTCTTCGTCGCTTTCCCCTTACGAGTTCCTGTCTCTTCGGCCTTGATGCTTAATGCTCTCCGGTAAATCTGAAACTGATTGTCCATCAGCACCTCCCAGTCACCGTAAAAGTAGGGGAATGACAGCGGCGGTGGAGTCTGACTGGCGTTTTTATCATGCTCATTATAAATCACTAATAGTATCAGTTGCGGTGCAACTTTACAAGCATTGAGCCATACTCTGACATCTTTGTCTGACCGTAGGAAGATGACCTGTTCAGGTAACAGCTGGTAAACACGGTATTGACCTGACACGGTCTTAGAAAACTGCTCATCGAGGACAAGAGACCTGACCAAATAGCGTATCACGGGGTGTGGCAAGTCAGAAGCACCACCGCGGGTTTCAGGGTCTAGTTACACCCCTTAAACATCCTCACAACCTCCGATAGATACAGACCGGGAAGTGAACTAAACGTCAGGTAGGGATGCCCACCAAAGGTTCTTCAGGTCAAATTAGGAATTTCCTAAGGCTTCCGACGTAGTCCCAACTTCACCCCTCCGAGTCGTTCAAAGCGGTATTTGGAGGGGAAAAAATGCGAAATGCCGATAGGCTGATCAGTAAGATATTGTGGCCTTTCGACATTCCCGGTCTTCACCGAGAAGGGCTCGTCGGCTTCCTCAGATGTCTCTTCATCGTCCGTCTCATCTCTGATATCTGCCTTTTCCCTCCGCTTCTCCGGTTTGTCTTCCAACCAGGCAAATTCGTCAATGTCAGGGTAGACCTCGTCCTCGTTGTTGGGCAGAGATGCCTGGGCCTGCTTGCTCCTCTTTATCGAACTGCGAGTTGGCGCCGTCTCACGCTGCTTGCCCTTGCCTTTTGTATCGGTCGCCTTCCCTTTGGTCACCTTGTTCTTCTCTGCTTTCACCTTCGCTGACTTCGCCGCACGCTTCTTCTGTTTGAGTGCTTCAGAGAACTTCTCTCTATCCTCAGTAGAGTTACCTTTGGCAAGATCTTGGAGTATACTGCTCACACAGACTTTGATCAACGCTCCTTGGAAGGTGCAATCTTCCTCCGGCTGTTGAAGCAGGCGTCTGAATTTATTCCAGTGCGGATAACTGAGTAGGAGTCTCACGGTCTCGTCCCATTGCTCGTCTGTTCCCATAGTTCTGCCGGCAATCGCATTCTCGACAAAGTAGTCGTACACAGCTTTGAACATGTTCCTCCATTGGGCCAGCGTAATGCTGAGTAAGGACTTAACTTCGGCGCTAGTAAATTTACTCTTTTTCGCATACCCCTGGTGGGCGTCAGAGGGCGAGAGATATAGGACTTGATAAAAATCTTACCTCTGCTATATATGCTGCTCTGCTAATCGACAAAATCCAGTGGCCCTCCTTATTGGCCCATTCCATTTTTTTGTTCAGAGATTATCACCGCCCGACCGCCCCCACCTGCACTTCCGACGAGAACGCTATAGAATCGGATTGTTAGTTGAAGGATCAGGATGGTTTCAGTTAGGATTGGATATGTTAGGAAGGTGCTCGGAAGATACAGTAAGTGCTAGGTGCTTCAGGTTAGGTTGTATGGAGAAAGATCGGTATCGGTTGTGCGATGTTATTATATTTGTTTGATATTTTCTTAGGTGTGGTTATGAGGAATAGTTATTGGATTATTCTTTGGGGTTTATATTTGACGCTTTGTTCTTATTATTTGTACTTTCCTTTCTTTCTTCTCTACAAACGTCTTCATTTTGTTTGTTAGTAAAATTCTATTCTGTTTCAATCGGTATTCTGCACAGTCCCCTATCCTTATCCTAGAACGTATCCGAGTCGATTCTCGCCTCGGCACCTGCCTACATCTTCGTTATAGAACCCCACCCCGTTAGAGAAATGACCTTCCCACTTGGGCTAATGCCAACTTGTTTTTACCCGACTGAGTACCCACCCTTGTAGTCAGTTGCGTTAGGAAGGTGGTCAAAAGACGCTTGACCGTTGGTGGATACCTTCAGGAGGATAGACTCCGGGGAAACAACGGGGTATTTAGATTCTTATATAGAACAAAGACTGTGCGAATTACCATCGTGAGGGTGTGCTGGAATCGGCAACTCGTAACGCCTTGTCATGTATACAATGTAGGGGACGAAAAACAAAGGCTCATCGTCGCTGGATTAAGTTAATGAATGAACCAACACGAGTGCTTTGACGGAGGTTCGCAACTGTTGGTGGTGAGGTCAGACGACGTTGTGATGAATGATGTCAGGTCGCATGTGCTTAACAAAGCTTGGCTCGCGGCTGACGACCCCGGGGAAATGATCGTCGGTCTGTGCTACAGTGGTCATTTTGCTCAGTCAGAATTCCAGCAGTATAAACCCACTCGATACCAGTGCCAGTGAACGCGAGAATGAGGCATACGACGAAGCAAAAGACGCGCACGACAAGCCAAAAGACCATCACGACTGATCAAGAAAGCGGATGTCATCCACACCTTGCCCCCTGTGCCCAAGGTATTACCGTCGCGCGGGACATCTTGCAAGACATATTTACCGGCATCATAGCGTTGACAATGTGCCTGAGGACAAGCATTTAGAAGACGAAACTACGCTGCCAGACGCCCTGCCTGGTATGCTTACTCTGGTAATTGATGCCCCGGATGATTCTACAGATTCAGCAACCGACTCTGAGGCGGAATCCGACTTCGATCCTGACTCCAATTACGATGGCCCTGAGGCGATCGCCTCCCCGATCTCAGAGCAAGCTGATGATAATCAAAGGGCCACAGCATACCTACCCAATAGTGGACAAAGAGTAAGGCAGGTTCATAGCTATCGAGACTATACAGAAGAGAATTGGAAGTCATGGGCACCGTTCAAAGACGCGGCGGAATGGAGATTGGCTTGTTTCTTTATCGAGCACAAGCTGACCTCTACATTAATTGACGCCTACTTTAATCAGGGGTTGCACAAGACGACAAAGAATGAGCGTTCCTTTCAGTCCGCTTATACTTTCCAGAACCAGCTCGACAAAATGACGGGCTCCCCACCTAACTTTCAATACAGGACCGTTGGGGACGGCTTTGGAAGAACGACCGACTTATATTACAGGAATCTGGTCGAATGCGTGAGGTATCTCTTGGGTCAACATTACTATAAGTCAAGCATGGTTTATCGGCTGGAGAGAGTTTACGATGCGAATGGATATCAACTCTATTCCGAGATGCATACAGTGGACTGGTGATGCAATATGCAGGAAAGACTTCCTACCGGGGCCACGATTGTCCCGATTATCTGCAGCTCCGACATCACGCATTTGACAAATTTCTCCGGAGACAAGAGGACTTGGCCGATATATATGATGATAGGTAATATACCGGGAAAAGTACGATCCAAGCCGTCGACCAAGGCGCATTTGTTACTCGCACTATTGCCAATACCTCCTGAAGTAATTGGGAACACGACGTCGAAGGGGAGACTCCAGTCCTAGGTGGCAGAGACGGTGAGGAGAGTCATGTCAGTTATACAGGAGCCTCTGCTGCACTTTAACCAAAGGCTCGGTGTCTTAATTGGCTGCTCAGAGGGGTACGCGAGACGTTGTTGGCCGATTCTGATGGCATGGCTTTCGGACCAAATGGAGAGCTGCAATATTCTGAATACCAAGTTCAACTTGTGCCCCAAGTGCGAGATACCCATCAATAGACTGGGTGAATATGAAGCTGAACCGTTCAAGACCTACCCTCGTGATCAGGACAAATACAAGAGAATCTATCGTCAGTACAGAGTGTTGAAGGTACTGGAGAATCCACCGAGAGACGAAAGGCGGAAGCTGAAGACGTTAACCAAGTTCTTCAATTCTCGTGGTTTACAACCTCTGTACAACCATTTCTGGAACCTCCTCTTCCTCTAAACCTACGACCTCCATAAGCCAGACATGCTGCACGTGGTATACTTGGGAATCCTGAAACATTTTATGGAGTGGCTGGAAGACTTCCTGAAGGAACATGGTCGTTTGGATGAATTCAACGCCATATGGATGTGAATGCCACCTTACCTTAGATTTACCGCACCGATGAAGCCTTATCAAGTGGTCAGTCAATGGCAAGGGAAGGACATGCGTAATTTTCAGAAAATAATCTTACCAGCCCTGGCATCTGCCCTCAGGCATCCGTCATCTGCACAGGCAGAGCCATTCAAGAAAGCCTTTCAATGCGTACGGGCAATGGTTGACTGAGCACTCGTCACCCAGTATCGTTCTCATAATGAACTGACGATAGACATGTTGGATAGTTACCTAAAGGCTTTCCATAGGACGAAGGATATCTTCAGGAAATATCGCGCGACTAGAGAGACTGACAGACTTGTGGCGGAACGACAGAGGGAATTGCGCTGGGAATACGACGTCGAGTTAGCAGGCCTAAACGACTCTTTAGGCCAAAGATGAAGGGTTATCGCAGACCAAAGGCTAAATCTCCAGGCGGAAACCGACCAAATCTTGCGAGCAGGATCCCACTTCAACTTCCCCAAGATACACCTCATTCGCCATTTCGCAGAGCACATTCGTCAATACGGCAATATTCCGGACTATTCGACGGAGTCTTGCGAGTCAGTTCACAGGGATCAGATCAAAATACCGTATCGTTGGAGCAATCACATTGATCCCGCAATGCAAATACTTTGGACGTTTAACCGTGATTATACGTTTTCCATTTGCGAATTAAATCTTCTACAAATTGCCCGGTACAGTTTTTCGACCACTGAGCTTGTCGGCAATCTCAACGTCTTAGAGCTACATCTGAGGAGGAGGATGCAAGCTACAAGACGTGATTTTAGAGACCGTCAGGACGACCCGGCATTTCAAGCGCAGTATATTGCGTTATTAGTCTATTTACCAAGCGACACCAGGTTGGAGAAGAGGTAGGTCAAATGCCCAGTCAAATTAACAAATGTCGGTAGTGTAGATATCACAGGTGCTACAAAGAGACTGGGGTATTACTTTCATGGATCGACTAGTGGAGATACGGGGTTATGAAGAGTCGGATTAGTCAGAAAGGTTCTATTGTGTTCTACCGGGTTCTGGTGATCGTTAATGTATGAGTCATGTTGGATTTGTCATCGCTGAGATTTCCTTGAGTATATTAAGGGGGGTTTTGTTTGTATTTTGTGTTCTTCTTCTTCTTCTTCTTCTTTCTTTACGCAACGTCTTCTGTATCTACGCTGTTTATTGCTATACAATATCACCGTCCTTTTCTTTCTTTAAGAAGACCACCGCCTCGCTTTCTTCGTGCCCCGTCGAACCTTACCAACGCTAGAGTCCTGTAGTACCCCTATCGCGAGTTCCCATACCGGCTCCTATTCTCCTCTTCGTACCCTGCGGAATACTCGCTACTCACCCCCTTGAGAATTACATTCGACGGTATTTCAGGAGGAAGCTATGTCTTGGATACGAAGATATGCCCGAAGACATCGATAGCTGGCGGGTAAACACATTCAAACAGCTTAATGTACCCATCATTTGGGACGGCGAGGGCAACGAGAGGACAATTCACATACTTTGTACGACGGGAACATCGGGTTACAGACGGGGAAACACGGGCAATGACTGGGTCTGATTTCATCAAAAGCCGGCTGACTTGGAAGCTTTGCAGGGTTCAAGCGCAGCAAGGCTACTTGCGATCTTTAAGCTCAGGGACCCAAGACGAAGGAGGGCCAGACTTCTGACTGCAATACAATCATTGAAGCCGGACTTCAATGGAAACCCCAACGTCGACCACGGGGTAATAACGGTATCACACTGCTCAAGCTCTCCTGACGATAAAAGGGTAGTAAAAATAAAAAGCATTTTGGGCGCCGCTTATTTGGTGCCTGAGATGACGTCATCTACGAACAATAGATGGTTTATCAATAGTATGATCGATCTATCGACATACGGATCAATTTACTGAAGTAAGACGGGACGTTGGACTGAGTTTTTTATAATGATACTGATGACATGAACACCAGACAAGAGACTTTAGACAGGTGGACTTCTGATGATAGGTTTTGGGCAGGGGGGATTATGACGAACGGGGAAGACAACTGGGAATGAGACGGGAGTCTTTAGACACGTTAAATAGTGGATATTCGACGCACTAGATTGTATTGTACATATTGGGTGAAAGGTATTAGACAGGCCCGGAGGTAATTAGAGTTTGTATTTTAGACGAAGTGATTATTGGACTTGGATTTTGGACAGAATTATGTCCGAGTCAAATGACGAGGATTTCCCAATTGAGCCATCTTCGTCTTTTGATGGGTAGTGAAGATGGGGACATTTGGCATAAGATGAGCGTAGGATAGATTGATTCAAAAGACGAGCTAATGAGGTCGCACGACCGGTTTCGTAATAGGAGCTCTAAATGGACAATGTTTTGTGGTTGAATGATGAGCGGCCAAAAATAGGGGGACATATGACGATATCCCAGAGCCAAAAGACGAGGTTTTGAGGGCAAAAGACGAATTTGGGTATCTGGGTGCCGGAAGTCGTCTTAGGGAAACCCATTTTTTGCTGATTTGGGGAGGATGGTTGAAATCCAGAAGCTTCTAACAGGATAGGGTTCGATAACAAGGACGTGAGCAGGTACCGAGGCAAGAATCGATTCGGATACGTTCTAGGATGAAGACAAGGGACCGGGCTGAATACCGATCGAAATAGAATAGAATTTTACTAATAAATAGAATGAAGACGTTGTGTAAAGAAGAAAGAAAGAAAGTACCAATAACAGAAACAAAGCCTCAAATATAAACCCCAAAGATTAACCCAATGACTAATCCTCACCACCACACTTAAAGAAATATCAAATAAATATAATAACATCCCACAACCGATCCCGATCCTTTTCCCTACAACCTAACCCGAAGTGCCTAGCGCTTACTGTATCCTCCGAACACCTTCCTAACATATCCAAACTAACCGAAGCCATCCTGATTCTTCACCTAACAACCCGATTCCGTAGCGTTCTCGTCGGCAGGGCAGGTGGGGGTGGTCGAGCTGTGACAAAGCCTGTCCTCGTGCTGAAATTCCCCCTAATCCCAATCGGGAACCACCGTAACCCTGAATAGGTAACAGCAAAATCCTTGACAAACCAATTTTCTTATAAACATAAATTCATTCGTAAAACGTGGTTTCATGGTGTAGCTGGTTATCACACAAGTCTAACACACTTGTGGTCCCCGGTTCGAGCCCGGGTGAAATCATTTTGCTGGCTCTAACGCCGATATCATTTGTTTTGGAGTTCTGTTGAGTCATTTCAGGGATAATAACGGATAGTGATATTTTTTTGGTAGCCGAAACAGTGGCATTCAGCTGCGAGAGTTAGTTGGTTTTAGTAGCTGAAATCTGAGTTTTCGTCGCTATACCACGTTTTTCGTTGCTTAAAAATTAATAGTAATCTGATTTGTGAGACATCAAGATCTCGCGTAGGGAGGGACACAGGGCTCGGCAGGGGATCTGTGTCTGTTTCTCTGGCAGTAGACCTGTATCTTTCATGTACTACGTAGGTTCTCTAGTTACCAAAGCGAACTCTCGATGATTAGTATGAGACGAAGTACTGACATATCAGCATCAGTCATGATTAGTCGAGATTAGTCAAGCGAGTAGAAGACATCTCACCTCACGGCTGGATTGATTGTGGGTTAGGGGAATCAGGGTAGACTCATTTCCACATAACCCTTTTCTGTATCTTAATGACTGGCCTACTAGGACGGAAGAAGTTTGGGAGACGTTATTTCGCCGGAGACCGTTTGCTGTTGGGCAATGGAGCGGGCCGTGATCGATATGCCCAGGTCCTTAGTTTAAGCTTGCGCTTTGGACAAAGGTAACTGTCGATCCATGGGATTAGCACCATCGTTGGCTATTATTGGAAGGGGGTCTGGTGCAGTGTGAAATACGCTATATCTGGGAAGAAAACTAACCAACCATTCGTATAATGTTGAGGGCTTAAAGTAACTATAGCAATGCTATGCACGCTGATTGTTTTCCATCAATGATATTATGCGCGAAGATATTGACGTTTGGCTTCATTTTACCAAAAGTGAGGAGGGACTGAAGAAGGCATTGGTCCGGTACTATTCCAAGCAGGAACATGTACATCTTATCGTGTTTGCCTCGTAGCAATATTTTCCGACATGAGTCCGAGAGGGCTACAGGGCCGGCATTCCGGCGGGTTAGGGTGGTAATTATGAGTGTCCCATCGTAGCTAAGAGGCCCGAGATGAACACGAAAGGGGAATGTCGTTCTGCCTCATGGAATTAGTCCTTGCCTAGACCATACAGAAAGTACCTACTGAACTGTGAATGTCGGCGTTCGGGAGTTTTGGCTCGGACGGAGATCCATGTAACAATGCGTAGGCACTTTGCACATGTACCTACAGCCACAACTCGATATGCGGGAACTCAATACACCGGATCCCTTGCTGTCCCGTACGAGATCCTCTGAGAATATTATTTTTCCTACTGCAAAATCAATTTGCTATCCCGGATTTTTTGCTATCCCGTACGAAATCCTTAGAATCTTGGCAATCCGGCATATCGAGTTGCGACTATACATGGGCTGGAGGTCGAAAATCAATTTTGTAGAATCGATATCGTCATATAACGCAGCTCATATACATGTATGTACTCGGGGCAGGTATGAAGAACCTGAACATGAGTGTTGGCGGTAATGGTCTCTGATTCGCGTATATTCTGAACTAACTGCAAATTGAATCCCTGCCTGCATATTTCATGCTCAGGTTCTTCTTGCCTCCCCATTGTATACTAATTATGATCTGTATTTCGTGTCGCCAATTAGCATCCAGGGGTTACTCTGTTCAGAGATTCAAAGCTCGGGGAATGTTGACATAAGGTGTGGCACCTATAATTACTAATTACTAAGGATTTGGGTGACTTTCTTCGGAGAAGTTCCTATATATGAAGTTCTGGCTTGTCCAGTTCGAGATGCATGCATATTGTAATGCCTAGATCAATGAATCAATCTAAAAAACCCAACTACCAGCTCCTTGGCCGCCCTACGGAAGGTTCGGACAATGACGGAGATATCTTTGACTGGGGGAGGGGGAAGAGAGGGGGGGGGGGGTGGGGCGCACTTCGCATAATTTGAATTCAAAGGGGTTGATGATATCGATGAAGCCGTGCACCGACTACGAAATAACTTTAAATGTCCCAGGGACCCGTAGGTCGGGGCCGGGAACCCACGTAGGGTAAAGTGGCTGCGGATATTGCTTTTCTTTCTCTTTCTTGGGAACGCCCCGTCCTGCAGGCGAGGACTGTTTCCCCACTCTTCACATGGCGCAGTGGAGTATAGAGTGCGAGGCGTTTTGCCGTGGTTTGTAGTACCAGGGTTGACTCCCACCACTTATTCTACTTGTCGTTAGACAGAGACCAGATCAGATCCCACTATAGCGATCTGGTATTAATACTTCTACACCACCTGCGGGATTTTGTGGCTGTCATTTATGCGGGGTTTATTTCCTAAGGGCGTTCTCCACTCTTTACTATCTAGTTGTTCTAATTCTTCCCGGCCAATAGCTTAGTTATGTAATGCTTACCGAAACACATACCTGAGTGATCCAGAGATCAGGTTCAAGACGAAGAAAGTTTCATCCACATCGAGAGGCCCTTCTGGTCTTTACTGTCTGTAGGCGTAGAACGGATTGCGAATATCCAAGGAATATCAGTTTGATTTGCTTATGTATTTAAATCTCAGTCACACAATAGTGGGCCGTGCTAGAACGTGGCCTTGAAAAAGCACATATTGTTGACTTCCTTGGAGGCCGGTTCACATACCGTTTTTGATGGATTCATGGGTATTAACGTGTGCGATTATATACGCACCTATTATAATTTCGGGAAACTAACTAGAATTACATTGACGTACCTGCCCAACCGGTGATTTCCAAAGCCAAGTGTCGCTAAGAAGAGATATTTACATAGAGAACTAGAACTAGAAAACAAACATAAAAGATAATTTAAAACAAGATAATATCAATCATTCGTCATAAGTTAGCTTTTGAATTGTCTACGTATATGTTACTGCTACTCAAAACCTCCAACCGTATACCACTCTCCGAGTCTTGTAATGTATCCCGTGAGATAGTCAGGTCTATCTCACTCTGGCTTTCCACCGTCATCACGACATCCGTCCTCTTCATGATACCCATCCCCATCTCCTCCTGGATAATCCTCTCCTCACTATCGCATTCCCCGTAAAAACTTCTATCTTTGGATGAAGAAATATGAGTTGAGGCTTGGTGTCCAGTCGGCAAAGGTGCTATGACGCCTTCTACAAATCTCCGCCCAACTCGGTGCGAGGTACCACTACTCCCTTGTCCCTGGTATATTCCGGAGCTATCTGGAGTCTTGGACCCCAAGAGCCCTGGTGCGTATTTTCGAATCAACGGCTTCAACGATGGTCCACATGCTGCTACGACGATGAGAGTGCTTTCGACATAGTACCATACGATTGCATCCGTTACATCCCCTGTTAAAAACGTTAGTAAAGAGCCAGGTGTCTTAGTATTCTGTCGATACATACAGGTGATGTCTTTACTTTTGTTGAGTGCAGGTAACTTGACAACCCTTACCATGCTGATTATGCATACCCTAAAATCACTCAATTGAATCAGAAACTTATCAAGATTTTGGAGGAGAAACAATTGCTGACTCACACTCCTCCCAATGAAAACAGCCCACATAAAACTATTTTCTGCCTTCTAGGTAGCTCACTATGTCGAACTATCAGCGATGCATTCGAATTTGTCTTGAATCAAGAACACCTACAGCGATAAAAGGAGCGGCATAGGAAGTATAGTGATGGCCACGTCAAGAAAGATGTTTAGACCGGCATGAATGAAATAGAATACGACAAGGTCCCAGCACCTTCCTTCGGGATCGGCACCTGGGAACAATCGATTCCATTGGTGGTTGGCCGGTTTGCACTGGAAGATAATAATGACTTCGCTGATAACCCCAACAACAATCGTAAGAGCAATGAGCATGATCGTTGAAACCCGAAACCAGGTTGGCAGGCCACCACAGCGAGGACCTCCGATTCGGAGGTAGAAATATAACAGCGAAAGCTTGGCAAACATTATTTGCACAGTGTAGCTCTTAACTTGCCCCCATGAATGTTAGATATACTGATAGCCGATTCTGAGGCCTGATGAAATTTTGTTTACTGACCTGACTACTGCCCCAATTTGCCTAAACAGAGGTCAGTGATTTTTGTTGGTATGTTTTTTTTTTTTTTTTTTTTTTGAGAATTCATATTTACCTGTATAGTCTTCCTAACATCGTTGGGGGTAAGATCTTTAAGATGCATTCCCAACCCATGTTTTGCAGCTAAGATGGAAGAAATATCAGTCAAAAGACTACGTTCGTATAAAATTAAACCAGATGGAGCCACATACCAACAAGAATACAGATAAGATAAGACAGCGTCAATAGCTAGTCCAACAAATCAATCAGCCGTGCTTTTGACAGATCCCCGGGAAGTTGTGTATATTTCAGAGGCGAAAATTGGTGCTAGGCTTTCTGGGAGAGATTGTCTACCTACTTCCGCAATCACGATCAACACTTTTTCATTAAGTCTCAGCATAATCCATTGGTTATACAGGAGTGCGGGGAAGCTTACTATCATCGATACCAAAAGATCTTATTATCATCGACCGAGTGTACACTCTCAAAGATGTTGCAATGAAGCTGATTATCCCAAGTACTGGGCCCGCCACCCATATCATATGCTGTTTACTTTCAACCATCTCTTCGCAAACTTTGAGCGGAGAGTGCGAAGCAGAATCGGAGACCAAGGCACGCAGTTGTGAAGATATTTAATTAAATTTCCGGGCGCCTCCGCCACGAAAGAACCTGGGGCCTGGCACCTTTTATGGCATCAGCCATCGTACGGTTGAGGTTTCTTCAAGCACACGGACGCCCTCCACGAGGGTGCCAAGAAAGTATCAGCGGGTATATATCGAAGTTAACTGTCCATAGAGTACATACCACGGCCATAAATCAAGCGAAAACAGCAAATCAGGGCCTTATCTCAACGCATGCAGCATCGATCCCCAGGTTCTTGTGTTAGCCTGCGAGTCGAAGGATTTACACTCCTCGCATCCCCTGACCAAAATTACAGCGGACACCCCTATTCTGGGACGCTGATCATCAATGAATGTGCTTTAATGTGACCAAAGCTAAACACCAGCAATCAAATCAAGAAGCAGAGCTCAAGACCGAATTTGCGTTGACACCAACCATATCGAGGCTATCCAGTGTTTGAAGGAAAGCCACACGATGAGGAAAGGGGAGCTTAGCCAGAAAAGGTTAGCAGGACCGCAACACACCTCTGACCTTCGGGCACGATTCAGGGGTGGACAAGCATGGAATATTACGCGAAAAGGCATCAGACGCATTTATGATCTCTGGGGGACCAGAGTCGAGCCTAGCGCACGGAGAATAAGGTTATTTGGCTCTTGGTGCAAGGCAATTGTCAGTGGCTGTTGAACGTCTGGGGGTTGTTCTCCATCTTTGGGGCATGGCCATACCAATGATATTCCTGGCACGTACCTACTTTACATACATTCTCATGATAGCCTAACGTCTAGAATATCGAGAGCAGATACATAGGTGCATAGTAATTGTATATAGGCAGTTACGTGTATATCATGTAATACCTACAACAGGAATGTACTCTACTCTAGAGTAGTAGAGCTAGAGTACATGTGTCTGTGCCTCGTACAAGGATCATTCACGACGGGCCTTGGAATGCACTCTAGAGTATGTACATATAGTACCTGTGTACCATGTACCTACATTATCGATGGTACTCTACTACTCTACTCGGGGCAGGCAAGAAGAACCTGAAAATGACTTTTTATGGTAACGACCTCTGATTCGTGGCTGGCGAAAAGCTACACCAAATTGAGCCCCTGCTTGCAGCTTGCATTTTCAGGTTCTTATCGCCTGCCCCGAGTACCTACAGTGGATTAGGGACATGTGTAGTCAGATTCAGTCGATCAATCAACTATATTTGTACTCAAACGCAGATGCCTGCCTCTCATACCAAGAATTAAGATGTTCATAGCGTTCAGCGCCCATGCTCGATACCTATATTATGTCAAAACCGCTTTCCATTTCGGGTGTGTGTAGGCAGCTGGGGCGGGTGCCCACGTTGCTATAATTGTCCGGTGGAACAACGTCACAGCTGCGCACTCGGTTATTTCATTTGATAGCTCTGATATAGAATGTGTAGCAACCCGGGATCGAAGGAATGCTCATAAAATGGCTGTACTGAACCCATGGACATAGACGTAGACATGGACCATAGCGACAGTGTACATGTGTGTGCATGATCAATAAGTTGATATGGTTGGGGACACCTTGAGCCGGAGTATGCGACATTCGATCCAAGAATTAACCGGATGTTAACTAGACTCTTGGCACAGATAACTGCCTCTCGTTTACAGTTAGCTAGTGTGTTAATACTAATTAACATGGCCCGCGACATTCATCACCAAACCCCGACCCTAATAACTCCACCCACAGAACAGCTAAATTAATTTGGACTATGTAGGGTTATAGATCAGATGAATACTAGCCGAATAACAAAGAGATAATTAAAATAGGGTGTGGTTGTGGAAAGTTATTAGCTTGGGAAATCTTGACGTTGGAAGTGCTCCGGCTCAAGGTGTCCCCAACCATATCCCTTGCTTGACACAAGTAGGGGCAGCATGAATAAGCTTTCGCGTGGCTTTTGTTGATTTGGATATCATTTGCTTAGGGTCCGTCTGTTCTGGGAGAAATGCTAAGATCAAAATTTAAGAGCGCATACACAACCGTGTTACTCAGGCAGTGATGCCGCTCGCAGGTCGACCAGTTCACAATAAGCCACAGACCAAAGCTGAAAAGTTGACATATCTATCTGACGAACAAGCCTCACGTATCCTCTTTTGTTATCAATTCCTCTCTCTCCGACTTACCTGAACCACCGGGTTTTTCTTGTCGAGAACAGCTTTTCTATGCATTGGTCCAATTTCGGCCATATACAACCACAGATATTAATACCCCAGACGCCGAGATAAGGTGCATTCTCGTATATGCTCCAGTTATCCGCCAAAACTGGATCGTCAGTTTACATAACAGGGATGTCCTTGCGGTACCAGGTTTCGGCTGCCCCGCAAATCACCCCAGGGTTTAGTTATTCTCCAGCATTGCCGTGTTATTAAGGACGCCCGATTATCACTAGCACGAGAACAGACAGTTTACATAGTGAGGCCCAGTCCTGGATTGACAGCTTTCTGACCAGTGATGTTGAATAATCCATCATGTACCTTATTGGCCGGAGTAGAAATCTGGCGTTTAGAGAAGGGTCTAGGTATGCAATAGGTCTGTGGGCGTCGAATGCCAAAGCAGTGGCGACTATACAACCCAATGATAATTCCCTCTTTGAAGACATTGAATCATCATCGTCGAACTAGACATCCGTGTTGCTGGAGAAACAATAATGTGCTTCCAGTATGAAATAAGGATTTGATCCGATACTTGGAGGTGTCCCTATTACTATATGGAGTCGATAAATATACACAATGGAGGGTTCAAACGTCCATGATTTGTTCTCATTTGTGGCAATCAAGTTAATATGTTTTCATTCTTTCTTCCAGACCCTGGACTGACATGTGAAAGAGTTAAAATCTTTAAACGTCGACTATCTTTTGCCATGAAGGGAATCCCACCAGGTAATAGCAAGTGCAGAAATGGTTCTTCTGCGCAGGAAACTGGGATTTAGTATGAAGAGTTCGCCAAAACTACCAGGGAAAACATACCCGAACTATTTCGGTAGGCCCTCCCTTGTCCATATTTTCATAAATACTTCGGCACTGCAGGTAACTCATATCGCTTTTCCTTGCCAACCATTCGCAATTCCGTTGTATCAAGGATGTTCGATGTGGGACTCCCTCCCTACGATCGGATACGAGCACGTGGCTATCCAGGACCTCTCCCTGGGAATCTCTTGTCTTTGTAGCCACATTGGAATAGATGTCGAGCAAGAATAGTGAAGTCTTCCAGGATAATTCCAACGGTTTTTCATAAAATGTTGGAAGTATTTACTAGCTTAGGTTGTCTTCGTCCTCGTGCTCTTATACAACCGATTCATGCAAGCGTTGTTTCATGTTTTGATTCTACGAGAAAAGCCATATTTAGGAAAATCATATTTAAGTTTCGAAAGTCCAGCTATCTGTTGTATTGCCTTCGCTCATTGCCTGATTCGTGAAATCCATTCTGTACATGTCTTGTGAGAGATAGCCCCCAATCATTGTCACAGGGCTGATTATGTAGGTAAAAACTCATGGTTCCGGTATTAAGGCCGGGGATTTAGACCCCGACTAGTTAATAAACGGGTAACCAATAGTTAAAAACCGGTGTTCCCGTAAGGTCATTCGGCGACAACATGAGGAAAGATTAGGACCAACACCATTCCGCGAAGCTCTGTATCGACATAACTGTTCTGCGAGCCACTTGCGGCGTGGATGACTTCCGGGGTGGATGGGTGTTCGTCGTAAGGTTGAGTAAGATCCCCGACACTTTCATA